CCCCTCCCCTACCTCCCATCCTTTGCCCAGGAGCTGCCTTCATCGCAGTCACGCCCCTTCCTTCCGAGGAGATTTCTGACTGCCCAAGCTGGTAGACCCCTGATTTATTCCTCCATCTCCTCTCTCTTTCGCTTCATCTTCTTTTAGTTCTCACCGCTCCCTCCACCCCCACCTTCAATCTGTCTCGCCTCCGACCATCCGCTGCTCCACCCTCCGGCCCGGTATCCTGCCTGTCCACTGCCACCAAGGAAAACCCAGAGGGAGCAGCGAAGAGGGGAGCAGCCGGGAGTCCGGGCTTCTCCCCTGCCCATCCCTGGCTTTTGGCCCGGGACCGAAGCCACTTGAACGAGCAGAGAGTCGTCACCTTGTCTTCGTTGCATTCAGGGGTAGGAGACGCCTGGTTAATTTTCGCGGGGAACTGGGGCAGAATCCATGGTGGCATGAACTTGATCGTGCCCTCGCGTGAGTCGATCTACATGCGTGTGGGGATACCCGTGTGTCCTACTTTCTTTGCAGCTGGCCATGAGTGTTTCGACATGTGCAGCAAGTTAAATCGGTTAAAAAGTGTGTGCTCCTTTCCCGTCCTGTGGAGATGCTAGTGGGTACCACAAGTTGATGGTACTTTTACTTCATTGCCTCCTGGGGTCCTTGTAGGTAGGTCGCTAGGTAATTAAGCACAAAAGAAATTAAAGACCTGAGGGAACTTGAGGTCTACATTTAGCTCAGCAGGAAAGTACGTGCTTATCTCAGATTGCTAGATGCATTCCTTCTAAATGCTTAGGGTTGGGGTCGGGGCTTACACTCCCATCCCCCGGGGCCTTGAATTCTTGGAAGTCTTAAAGTCACGTAGTAACCTACAATGATACACTCACGTGTGTGTGTGTGTGTGTGTGTGTGTGTGTGTGTGTGTGTGAGGAGGAGTTGCCCCTTATCTGCATTATATATGTCAGTGACTAGTTTTGCAGGATCATGCAGGTGTCTTGAGGGTCGCAAGCCTGGGTCACTATGTTGCTGCTTCAACAGCAAGATGGACTTACCTACTTATGAAACTGAAGAGAAAGAAAAGTGAGGTGGAAAGTGACAGTCTTTGTAGGCTGTGAGCAATCCCTGAGAAATTCACACTAATAATAATGTAATAATAATTTGCCGCAAGGGACTAAATACAATCAAATGAAAGAGGCAAGGGAAAGTTTGTGAGAAACAGCATTTCTGATCTCTAGCATGTATTTTAGAAAGAATTTTCTGACCCCTTGGAGTGTCTAATTTAGTTCTTCTTCCTCCTCTCCCCCTCCCCCTGAGGAAGAGTGGAAATTGGGAGACATTTTAAAACTTTTTTGAATATAATCCTCTTCTCCCACTCAGAGAGAAAGATAGTCACCATGATCTTCAATAATGGAGAGCTAAGGTTATTTAAGTCTCCTTGAACTAGGCTTGTGAATACTTCTTTCTCAGGCCAACCTTTGTGAAGCCTTCTCAGTTAGACCTTTCAGCACCCTCATTTAGTAGCTAAGAATAGTTTGAGATACCATTTTGGATGCGGGATAAATCTTCACCCATCTCATACCTATCTCCAGTTGGCCAAGCACAGCAAACTTACAAGAATGGTGGTGTTCAAAGACCTATTACCAAGATGTTCCAAACTCATTGCTTATTCGGGAACAAACTATTGACATATTTTAAAATAATTTTGTTGGTTGATTTTAATTGGGGAAAGGAAAGCAGGAAAGGAGAGAAGGAGCGCTACAGGGTGACAATTTTAAAGGCTATCATGTTTCAGATCTGCTGGGAGGGAAAAGTTGGCCTGACCAAACTACATTTTATAACTAGCCTGGGATATTTTAATAGCCAGGTGGTTGTAGAGTAGTTGCATCTATTTACAGATGATAACTCAGGTCCCAGCTATTCTGTATGGGTTTATCCGGTGTCATTTACAGACACTTTATGGCACTACATCATACTTAATTTTAAGATACTTCTTTCTTTGGAAAAGTCTGGTTCTGTAAATTGAAAGTGCTTATTCTAACTTCATAGTCTAGATATGAAGCAAACCTCTGACCATACTTGTATGTAGAGTAACTTTTATGTAGAAGTTGTGGATCTGTTTAAAAGGTTTTAGACGAGAGTTAAAAAAATCATATCCAATACTCTTGGATTTGGAAGTTGAAATGTCATTTCTGGTTTATGAAGTATGATTTATTAGACTAATGCACAGCCAAAGCTTTTTATGGAGTTGCGTTATCTGAGGTTTTGTAAAGAACGAATCAGACTTTCTAGAAGGTCTTAAGAACAGTCAATTCAGAAAGCAGAGAGATGGATGCTATGACCTTGAGGTCCCATTGAGTGCCAGAATTCTAAGTGGGTACATCTGCTTCTGCGCCTCTCCTAAGAGCTCTCCCAGGGCCTGCGCCTTCTTTAAAAGGGTGTCTTTGTAATTAAGCAGCACTTCTCCCCCATCCCCCTTTCTTCCTTTGATCCAGCTCTTTAAGGCTTTTTCCCCCCCCCCCCCATTTGGAGACAAGAGGAATTTCCCACACTCTTCTACTCCCCTCTTAAGGTTTCTTTTCCTTTTCCCCCTAAAAAGTCCCCCCGAATTCTCAGGATGGTTAGAAGTTGTTTTGTTTGTGGTGGGGGTTACCAATGAGGATGAGTAGAGGATATATTCCCTCTTTGGAAATGCTTGTGACCAGGTAGCCTCCTCCATGGAGACTGAGCATTTGGAATGCATGAGAACAGTGTATTAGGTACTGTCTGGAAGAAATTGTCCTTTGCACCCATTAAGCCCAGCTTAAAACCACTGAAAGGAGTGGAGGAGGTGTGTGTAGTTGTGGCCAAGCCTTTTAGGATGGTAAATGGGTAGGTAAATGTCCCCAAATCTATTATATCACCTCTTACCCCCATTGGATTCAGTGGGTTTGGAGATCTGCTTGACAAGTTAATTAGGTTGGGACTAAACCAATTTGTTTAGAATTGTGCTCCATTGATTTCCTGTCCCCAAGAATTTTTGTTGGTGGGTTACTATGACATATTGGCTTTAGTCTTGCTTACTTCTTCATTCCTTGCTGCCTTATGTAGACTTTGGTTCAAAATTGAGGGTCCCATCCCAAGTCAAAGGTTAGAATTTGGTCCCAGGAATGCAGACAACATTAAACAGGCAGTCCGTACTGCATTACTCTGCTCTGTGGTGGGTTTTGGACACCTTTTAACCCAGAGAAAGGAGGGATGTCGCCCTTCCACTCACAAAATACAAAATCTGAACTTTTAAAAGAAAGAAAAAAGAAGGTCATTTGCTTTATAAAAGAATCTATACAGTTTTTTTTTTTTTGGAAAGAACTAGCTTTCCTAGTTAGTGCCTTTGAACAATTACTTGATATATAAAAATTCACTATAGCTGAGCCTTCTCTGAAATATATTTATTGCAGAAAGGAAGACATTAGGCTTCTGTTGTAATAATTATTGTTTGACTTAAGTGAGAACATTAGTTGGCCTTTGAAATCTTTTTGTTGTATAGGATGGAGTTAATTGTCTAAATCATTTTGGCTTGTAATAATGCTGGCCACCTTTAGCCGTAGCCTACAACCACTTGTAGAAGGGAGCCAGTATGACTTGATGGAAATAAATCAGACTTTACAGATTTTGATAATTGTAAGGATGGACTCTCTACACCATATAGCTGAAATATTTTAATTCCAGTTACTGTATTGGAATACCTCAAAGGCACAGAAAATTACTTCAGGTAAATAGCAGCGACTTTAAGAAGCTATGCATGATAAGCTTTCCTAGCAAGCTTATTGGTGAGGACCTGGGCTCTTGACCCACCGCTAACTCAGTTTATCACCCTTGGCAAGTTTTCTCCTCTGTAAATTGTAAGGGTCAGACAGGGTGATTTTGAGAACCAGTCCTCAAAAGTTTATGGTTCTCAGCCCTAGCCAGTTTGGCTCAGTGGACAGAGCGTCAGCCTGCAGACTGAGGGACCCCGGGTTTGATTCCAGTCAAGGTTGCAGGTTCGATCCCTGGCCCTGGTTGGGCGCATGTGGGAGGCAACCAATTGATGTCTTGCTCACATCAGTATTTCTTTCCCTCTCCCTCTCCCTTCCACTCTCCCTAAAAATCAATGGAAAAAATATCCTCGGGTGAGGATTTAAAAAATAAATAAAAATAAAAAGTTTATGGTTCTTTTCCTAGGCTTCAGTTTCTGGTGTGAATATGAATGAGTCCTACTAGAATGGGGTGCAACAGTTGTTAGAAATACAATCATGTAGTCATCTGGATAATTTTTAAAAATCTGTAAGGATATATTAATATAAATGCATTCTGTTTTGTATTTAAATAACATATCTAATTTAAAAACTAAGACTCTGCCCAAAACTTGGTCGAGAATCCCATCATCCTAACAGTTCACCTGCGTTCATTTTTTCTAGTTCCTTTCAGTCCTTATTTCTCAATTTCCATGGATTTTACATAGAGTCATAGAAATATCCCCTGTTGCTTTTAAATAAATGACCCACCTAAGACTTATCTTTGTAAACCTGTGTGGAGGAATGAAGTCAGAACCTGACTGAATTTACATGAAGAATCCCAAATTTGTTGTTTGAGAGACTAGGTGTGATTTAGGGGTGCTCATGTATCAAGCAAAACTGTTAATTCTACTCCCTTGACCTTCTGTTACTCCTCCATCATTCATTTTAAGCAAAAATAAAATGAGGGTTTACTGTTTGGTCTAAATCACTAATGATCCTCAAATCACTGTATCATGATATCCCACCAAGAGGGTACAAATTTGAGTAGACTATGAAATTTCCTGAATGAGAAAGGAAAGTCAAAAAAGCACAAACATTTTGTTTTATAGCGTTGAAAATAATACATTTAAATTAGACTAAATATAGTAAGGAAACGAAGTAAGGACTTTAGACAATTAAATATAAGGTATGTAGGTGTAGCGAGGTAACCCACACATAATGGGTTCTTCATCTGAGACCTTCACCATATAGTGAAAGTTCAGTTACAGGGTCCTTTAATTTTCCTTCGATAGCAAAGTTATAATATATGTATGATCTCCAATTTTGGATAGACTCATTCCTGAAAACCAGTGGCTCATCATAGATTAGATTTCTTTAACCAGAACAGGAAGGTAAAGTATGGGTTTTTAGTACTTAGTACCAAGTTCAGTGCAGGGGCATTTTAAAATGATATGTGTTCATGGGAAAATGCAGATGGATATATTTGCTAAATCTCCAAAGGTCATTTTAAAAAACATTTTTTAACTCTATTGACTGTCCTTCACATTTGTAAAGTCACTTTCACTATTGTCCCCACTCAATGAAATATCATTAGACTGTGTGACTTGAAGCTAGGCTCTGGGTTTCTCTGCCCAACCCTCTCTGACTTGCCATGTGGCCAAAGGTAAATGAATTAGCTGCTCTGAGCTTCAGTTTCTCTTCTGGGAAGCAAGGATATTAATACTTCACAGAGGTGTTTAGGCATGCTTCATATTGGGCACAAGCTTTGAGGTCATTAGAGGAAAGGTGTTTGCATGATGGCAGAGCAGGCTTATTATAGGGTCCTGAGCAGGGGTTGACTTTTAATGAGTTTTGCTCTCTTACAGTGTCCTTTGCTTCATTGCCTTATTGACTACTAGAGGCCCAGTGCACAAAATTCATGCATGGGTAGGGTCCCTAGGCCTGGCCAGGGATCAGGGCAGATCGGGGCCTTCTAGCTGCTGGCCAGCGCTTTCCTTTGTTCTGCACCGCCCCCTGGTGGTCAGCACACATCATAGGGAGCCATCGAACTCCTGAGGGGACACTTTGCCTATTAGCCTTTTATATAGATAGATAATTGATTGTACCATCATTTGTATTATTGACCCTCTTGGCTCTTAAAATAATGAATTAAACATTTTCATTCTATGTGGTAAGTTGAAGCTCTAGTAGGAGGACTGTAGCATCTCACAGGATGCTGAAAATAGCTTCAAAAAGACACATTAGTTGGAATGTGCCATACAGTTTAGTGAGTTCTTCAAAGCTCTTCCAGAAGATTAAAAAGAGTGAAGCAAATTTCTGTGTGTGTGTGTGTGTGTGTGTGTGTGTGAGTGTGTGTGTGAGTGTGTGTGTGTTTTAAAGGAGAAAGTTTTGAGTAATATTTGCTTGTGACACATACTGATGATAGCCAGTAACTGAAACCCAGCCATTGTAGTGTTTTATACACAGCTGGTTTTTATTAATGATGGAATATTTATGCTTGCTGTACACTTCATGGCTCATTTCCATGTGTATGTCAGGACTTAAATACCCCCAAAAGCAACATTAAGATAACATTAAATATAAATGTGGCCAAGCTGGAAAGGGTGTGTTTTGGGGGGGTCTCTCTTATTCTTATTGGTGTTGCTTCACATAACAATAACTGCCCCCCCAACTTTAGGCACTGATGCCAATCTTTTTTTTCCCTTTACATAACCCATAGAAAACTTTATATTTTTTATCCTTTTGATATGGACAAATGATCTCCCCTCCCTTCATAATGCAGATGAAACTGATGTATGTGTTTTTTAAGAGCATATTTTCCTTGCACATGCTTCTCATTATCCGAGAGGCCTGGACTCAATCAGTAAAGGAGCAGAGAAACCACATAATTGAAAGGAGAATGACGGTGGTGCATACTTGGAATATTTGTGGGAAGGGGATTGCTGACATCAGAAAATTTAGTGGCCTGAGTGTTAACAGCATTGAAGAGAAATAAGCTTTCTGTGTTTCTGTGCATTGAGAATTATTTTTGAGGGGATAAAAAATATGGACCAGGTTTGACATCCTTTTATGAAGTTGCCCTGGAAACTTTGATGAAGATTATAGAATAGTTCAATTAAAACCTTCCCCATTAGGAAGATAATTAGTATATTACTTAATCATTTGGGTTGTTTTCAAGGGGCATAGATTTGCATTGAATTAATGACATTTTTTTATGTGATAGGAAACTAAGATAAAAATCACAGATGGGGAAAATTATTTAGATTGCCTATATTGAAGAAATCTAATTTTCTCCTCATTACATTTAGGTTTTCAGTTCAGATTCTTGTTTCACTCTGTTTATATACAGTGATCACATTTTAGTTTAGTAGCCAGTTTTACTTTCTGGATCATGGGCTGTAAACCACCGCCTATTAATTTGAGTTTCCCGTATGAATTGGAAAAATATGACAAATGATAAAAAAACCATTTTATTAAGGTAACATTTGTTTTTTTCTTCTATAATTAGTTTCTCTTCTCTTCTCTCTCTCTCTCTCTCTCTCTCTCTCTCTCTCTCTCTGTGTGTGTGTGTGTGTGTGTGTGTGTGTGTGTGTGTTTGGAAGAGGCAAACTGTTTTTTTAAAAGAAAACAATTTTTGGTGCTAAGAAAATTTTGATGACCCCCTTTACCCCCAAGAACATTCTGTCTGCCTCAGGCTCTCAGTTAGGCTTCCATTAGGGCAATGTGATGATTTTTCTGACCTGGTACTTTTTGTGACTAGGCTAGCAGTTCTCCCTTGGCAGCCTGAAGGAGAGTGTTTATGATGGGAACTGGAGTGCTGGATTCCTAGCACGTTCTTTCTTCTGTACTCCGCCTTTTTTAAGAGAATGAATACTTGCTCCTGAGGTTTCAGGGCCATTTGAAATAGAATAAGTGCTCAGTAGCTAAATATGTAATGTGTGTCTGTGTGGCACTCCTTTTCCCCCTAACTAGCAGGGGAAAGTCATTACAATGTTGGGCAAAAGTAGGTTTACAGTTCGCATGGAAAATAATACAAAGGTAAGGGAGGCCCCGGCCAGCAGCCAGCAGCCAGGTAAGGGAGGCCCCGGCCAGCAGCCAGCAGCCAGGTAAGGGAGGCCCCGGCCAGCAGCCAGCAGCCAGGTAAGGGAGGCCCCGGCCAGCAGCCAGCAGCCAGGTAAGGGAGGCCCCGGCCAGCAGCCAGCAGCCAGGTAAGGGAGGCCCCGGCCAGCAGCCAGCAGCCAGGTAAGGGAGGCCCCGGCCAGCAGCCAGCAGCCAGGTAAGGGAGGCCCCGGCCAGCAGCCGGAAGGCCTCTATGGGCCCTGATCGCCGGCCAGGCCTAGGAACCCTACCTGTGCACGAATTTGCACCGGGCCTCTAGTTACTAAATAATAATACAAGAATAAACTGATTCACATGCTCACAACCTACTTTTTTTTACCACCCTGTATTCCCTGATGCTATACCTGCAGCATATGCCTGCCCTAGAGTTTTGGAGGGTGGGCAAGTTGGTTGCATTATATGATTTGTAGTTGAACTGATTTCACCCGACTTCTTCCTGGGAAGGCAGGGACGAGATTTAGTTTCGCAATGGCAACTCAGTCAGGACAGGTTCTTGGGACTTGCAAGTCAGCATGAGGAGGAGGGGCTGACTCTGGGGAGTGACTCAGGCCCTTTGGTATGAAGATATCAAACGCTGGCTCCTGTTCATGCACCTGCTGGATGCCACACCTGTAGTCAGCACCTGAGCCCCACTCAGACACAAGGCAGATGGGGCTCCCTTCCAAAGGGGTACAGCAAAACAGAGAGTTCCTAATTATGTTAGTGGAGCACCACTGCACATTATATTTAGCCGTTCAGCATTGGTAAGGGGAAACGTCTTAGATATTTTCTTGTAGGTGCAGTGCACTAGCTTGCTCAAGATACTGTTGGAGCCCTGAGGGAATCTGCTTTCCTAATGAATTTCTCTTGTGAACTGTCCTCTTAAAAACTGAAGAGTCAGTTCTGTAGAGGTTTGTGTGTAGTAACCCAACACAGGGCAGGAAGTCACAATACCTGGATTCTTATCCTGGTCCCACCAGTGGGCCACAGTGAAACCTTGGTCAAATTAGTTGTCATTAGCTATCTGTCCTGGACCTAAGCTTCTGCAGTTGTAAAATAGAATTAATCACATCTGCCTTTATTTCCTCACAGAGCTGCTGAGAAGGACAAATAAGATAACAGAAGTAAAAGAGCTTTTGTCTCCTTAGAAGAAAGGCTGAGAAACTAAAGGTAACAGTATTATTGTTACTGCTAGTATATCTTTCATTCCTTTTCTTTTTTTTGTTGTCTCTAGCAAAGTCTTTGGGAAGTTATTTACTCACTATGCAATTATTAAGCATAATTTATGTACCAATTAAAGTTTTAGGTGTTAAGAATGACACAGAAGAAAAGCTTGCACTCAGCCCGTGCCCTCTAAGATCTTGCAGTCTAACAACTTCCATTTCTGGCTCAACATATTAAGTGATTTCTGTGTGGGTACTTAGAAGCTTAAAGGACATGAATGAACTTCTTTTTTCTTCTCTGCATTGCAAATGGGGACTTCCATTTCTGGAGCAGTGTATTCCAAGGTTTAGATTGAAGGTGTAAGGGGAAGGAGGGGGAGCCATAGGTAAATAAAGGAATTTCTTTCGCATGCGCACAATTGCCAAGTACCTGACCCTTGCTCACTTTTTTCAGGAGCCCAACTTAGTTTCATCTTTGATTCTAGTCTGCTCCTTCTCTATGTGATCCAGCCCACTCTTTGACCTTAGCTGTTATCCATATGCTAATGACTCCCAAAGATATATCTCAACTTATCTTTGACTCCTCCCTTTCCAACTTCTCCATAAGCAAGTCGGTTATCAGATTACATGTCTCCTACTCAGCTCATAGGTCTGTTCCTCTGTGAAGCTTTGCTCAGGTGGCTCAGAGGTTTTTGCAGGGTTCTCTGTGTTACCAGAGTTATCTGCTTGTACCTCTGGTTTCCTGTTGAATTGTGCCCCACTGCTTGAGTGGGAGCTCCTTGAGGACTGGACTGTTTTATTTCTCTCTCTCTCTCTCTCTCTCTCTCTCTCTCTCTCTCTTCACCCTAGGACCTTTGCAGTTTCTGGCTATAGTTAAGTGCTTAATAAATATTTGTGGAAAATATGGTTTGATAAGTGTTCTAATAGAGATATATACGAAGTACAGTAGAAACTGTGAGGAGAGAGAATTAATTTTCCATATTGAGCAGAGTTGGGGGCAGGGGGAAAATGGACAAAGATTAAGGGAAAAACCTTCAAGGAGAAGGTGGAAAGCACTGTTCTCTTTTGAGAATTCTCACTAAGCAGCCCAGGAAAGATGCCTATTGTGTCTGCTCTTGCTAAGGCATCTCTGGCCTGTTTCCTCCCCTGCCTAAGGATTGGATGACTTTTATGGTCAAGTCTGCAAATAAACCTCTGACTACATAACACCTTGGACATTTAAGACAGATGTCACTTAGCCATATAATATTAAACAGGGCTGACCCTAAATGTGCCACCTTAACTGTGGCTGAAAATTAGGGGTACACAGTCACATTCGTTATCTATGCTTATATAGCACAATACCCTGTCAAATATATTGAATATTGATATTGGAAAACTAACCAATTTAATTCTGAGAATTTAGCACATGGGGTCACTAGAACTGAATGTCTTCAAGCTGACTGTCAGATCTTTCCAAGGGCAAAAAATGAAACATGATATAAGCCATTACAGGCCATGAACCTATTCTCATCCACCTGATAGTTTTACTAATGAGCTTCTTGACTGGGTGGCAATTTGGGACAAGTGCATGCAAGCTGGATTCACAAGGGAGTCCACATTCCACTCTGCCATTTTGAAAGTCACTGGGATACTACACTGCTTCTCTTGGCTTCTTTCCCTCTCAGGAGTCCTGCTCTGCCCTGGTGGAGAAGTGGGAGCAGGATAACTTTTCATTAAATGAAGGAGAGATTTCATGGGACTTTGATGTTTTGCTAGTTTTATTTTTTTAGTGGGTTGTCTAAAAACATTCATGCTCCTTGACCATTAATTTTACTTTTGGGATTCTATCATTAGGAAACAATCCAAAATATTGAAAAAGGCCAAATCAAAAGATGTTTTTATAACATTATTTAGACTAGAACAAAATTGAAAGCAGTTTAAATGTCTGAATAATTGGAAAATGGGTAAGTGAATTTTGATACACTCATTTAATGGATTATTACACAGTCATTGCAGTGTTTGTTATGAAGTCTATGCTTCAACATGGAGAAAGTGTTTATGATAAAGTGAAATGTAGCATCCAAAATTACATGTACATTCATATTTCATTGCTTTGCAAAAACACAAGTATACAAAGAAAAAAAAAGGAAATATTCTATAATATTAACAACGTGTGGGTTGAGTTGCTAGGATTATGAGTGATTTTTTTTTCTGTTATAAATATTTGTGTGTTGTGCTTATATTACTTGTAAAATAAGTAAAAATAAAAGTGAGTAGTATGCCATTGAAAATAGGATATTGGTAAAGTAGATAGCTTCTGGGTATATTTTTAAACTTTTCTCAGTTTATACTCAATATGATTTTATGGACTGCTTATATGCTTTCTGAGGCAAGAAGAAATGGGATGTGATGGTGTGATATATTTATTCCTCCCTTGAAATGGCTTTGTGTGGAGCAAGGTGGAGGGGTGGTGGCAACAGTATTTTTCTTGTTACCCAGTATTTCACTGCTCATGTACATTTTAGGGTTAATCACTTTTGTTGGCTGTTAACATGTTCAACTTAATTGACTTATAGTACAGAAACATAAAACTGGGACCAAATTGACCACACCTTTGAGTTGCCATCTCAGAAACAGATAACTGATACTGATCCTCAGTAAGATTTGGAAATGCCAAGGTCTTACCGTGGTTCTTAAAATAAATTTCTAACCTAATCTAGATTGAGGAAGAGCTAGGAGCAAAGAAGTGGGGCTGACTCAAAGCTTTTTCTTAAGCTAGTACTAGACTTAAGTAACAGTAAGTACCAAGTCATTATGATGTTGACAAGACCTACAACAGGGGCCTGGAAATATTGATCAGTGGAGGTTCCTGCTACTCCCCGACCTATCTGCATATCTTGGCCTACAGAGGAGCTATTGTGTAAGGTCCTTCCACCATACTTCTAACTAAACACAACCCTCTCACCTGTTTGGATCGCCCCATTATCATTTTACTTGTAATGGAATTGAAAAATTGGTGGTAGCATTAAGCCCCATTCATAGTCTTTTAAAACTAGAGTCAATTCAATTTCATAAATATTTATTAAGCATCTTCTATGTATAAACTAATATGCTAGATAATATATTTTAGTGGAAGGACTGTTCCCTTTGGAGTAATAAAACCTGTATTCTGGCCCTGGCTCTGACCCCTTTTAAGCTCTGGCATCTTCATCTATAAAAGGGAGGGTTGGACCACTGGATGGTCTCCCAGGAGTCTTTCTTCCAACATTCACTGATTTAAGGACCTCTGCACACAAACTGAGTTGCAAATAAAGATTTTACAAAACCAACCTTACTTTATAAAATTGCAGAGCCTTCTAGAAAAAAATGCCAGTTTGAAATAATAATATTAATAGCTAACTTTTACTGAGTCTTTACTGTGTACCAGGCTCTGTGTTTATACTTTACATGGATTACCTCCCTTCAGCTTTATAAAACTCTATGAGGCATGAGCACTGTTATTCCTATTTTGCAAATGATGAAATTTGAAACTTGGGGAGGTCAAGAGACATGTATAAGGTAAGTTAGTAAACCATAGATCCAGAATTTGAACTTGGATAGAGTAACTCTAGGCCCTGGTTCTTAACCATGGTGTTTATACTGCCTGCCCATTATCCATCGAAAGTTTAGGGCTAACCTGCAAAGGGACCATTGTTTCTTACCTCCCAGAGGAAGTGAATTAGTATCCTGAGTTGCAAGATTATTGGGAAAGGTGTTCCCTAGGACACCTCAGGCCACAATATGGACCAACCAGAGAGGACATGAGAGAATTCAGTGGGCCATTTTGCCTCTCTTTGTGTGGGAGGGTGTGTGCATGTGTGCGTGTGCATGTGTGTTTTATGCACAAATATGTGCATGCAGATACAGGGAAAACTTTGAACTGGCTTATTTCCAGAGAACTGGAAGTAAAATTGTATGAACAAGTTGACCAAGATTTAGCAGAGAAACAGGTTTCCTAGACTTGATTCTTCATTGTGGTTGGTGGAGTGAGGGGTGGGGGCAGAATAAGAGGAGATAGAAGGGACAAAGAGAAGATCTTATAGGCATATTTCAAAATTTATTTGAAGGGTGGGAATTTGGCCACCTTGTCATGTTGATTTTCTGGGACTTGGGTTGGGAAACATCTGGGCTATCACTAATGTATTTTGGCTCAATCTCCCAGGTATACTGGGAGAGGCCAACGACTGCAAATGGAGTAAGAATTTAGCTTGGCCTTGCTGACCTGTTGTTATTACAGAAGAGTTGAATATATAGATTCAAATTGCATTTTTAAAGAGAGAACCACGGATATCCTTTCTTCCCCTATCAAATATCCTCAGGGACAGTCTGCTTGTCCAGGAGAAACAAGGTTATTTTATTGATTGAAGATGATGTCAGACCCCTGACAGTTGGGGTGATTAAATCTGTGGGCAGATTAAAGATTCAAGAGTTCATACTATTTTAGTTCTTGCACATGAGACAATAATATTTTCCTTTCTTTTCTCTAATAAATAAATGGAGTAGTATTTTCCTTTTTATGTGACTCTTAATATGTAGATGAACATAAGTTCTTTAAGAAGCAATCAGCAAACTGGAGAGAAATCAGCAAAGCTTTTTTTCTTAGGCTGAGTTCTTTTCCTCTTTTAAACAGAAACAAAAAAGTCCAGGGGGCGGGGTTATGGGGAGGGACAGTCTGTGTCCGGTTGACTTAAAATGATTTGAGTTTTGAAAAGGATATGTAAGAGAGAGGACAAAATTAAGGAACAAGAGTAAGACTTTGGACAAGTAAAGTTTTTGTGGTGAGGAGCTGGGCAATAGAAGCAAGCCAGTCAAGATTGGCATGAAGAATCTAAATAGTACTGGCAAAGAATTGTATGGTGGTTTCTCTCCAGGGGTCCAAGTTTAGAAGCCTTGGGCTGTTTTCTGCGTGTTTCAGTTAAAAAAAAAAAGACAACTTTTTTGTTCAGAATTGGACAACAGAAGCACAGGGGTTATTTACCATAGCTCTGTTAATAGTCCAGCTTTGATTCCAATTAGAAGTTGTTCCTCTCTTTGAAATTAGGGGAGACACCCCAAAATAATTACCTTGCAGATGGGAGATGCTTTTGCTTTTGATTGTGATTACACGTTGGGCCAAAACAAGATGGAAAGGCAAATTTCCATGTTTTCTCACTCTATATCTGTTCATTTTATTTTTGGCAACATTGCAAGGAAATAATGTTAAATTAATCACTGTGCGGTTTTGTGGATTTTTAAAAAACTCAGATGTTTTGGACATGCTCCCGAAATACAGAGATGCTTGTGTGCTTCTTTTGCATTGCCCTGCTCCACAAACGGGTGCCTCTGGTGCAGATGAAAGCCTTTCCTTTAAGTGATATGAGTGAGTCATGCCGAAGGCAGGACAGAAAATAAGAATGTGGATCATCTGCATGCCACCTAAACACAAACTCTTCAGTTTGATTACCATTTTGGTTGGACCTGCAGGGCCTTTTCTGAGGGTCAAAGCAGTAATTAGAAATGGGGACTATCTCAAACCCTTATCTGGTGGGTGTTTGCAGTTAGTCTTGATTGTGTGAGTCTAGCCTTTCCTTTTCGGAGACACCGGGGCTGTGGAAGTGCTGAGAAAGCCAGTGGAGGCATCTTCTTGAGGGAGAGGGGTTGCTGCTATGCATTGAGAAGGGCAGTTGCCTTTGCTGCTCCAGGAAGCATGGATGGGCCATCGATCAGATTTTAAGCTCTGTGAGGGCAGGAACAATATGTTGTGTGTCTGTTGTATTCCTCTAGCATGATGTTGGAGAGTATCTGGAATAGCGAGTATGCAATAAATACTTAATGACTTGGGTAAAAAGGAGTTTGGGATTGCTTCTGCCCAGCTGAGTCTGTAGCAGTTGAATTGAGAGTTCCACTGCACATTTATATTTGACCAAAAACCTGCTCTCTGATGACCGCCTTTTTTCTGAGATGCGGGGCCTCATTCACCTGTCCTGCTACTGATAGCAATTGAAAGGAAACACCCTAAAGGTGACTGTGGTTATGGCTTCTGTCATCACCCATCATTTCAACTCAGAATCGAAGCAGCGGCTTTTGGGGCTGTGAGGCTAGAGCAGAGCAATCTCCCAGTCTCAGACCTGGACATTTCCATCTCCTGGAGACTGGCTGATCTCCTGAACATACTGCTGGATAGTGACATTTCTTTCTGTCTTGGTGGAAATGGATCCTGCCACTCATATAAAAGGCAAGCACATGGGAGGACGAGTCATTCCCTTGGAAGGACTGGTTTGGTTAACAGTTGGCCATTGGTGGCAAAATAGAAACGACGTTTTTATTTCTCCTCCCTCCCCCTCCTGAACATTTCAGAGTGACCACTGGTTGGACTCTTGGCGGCGCTTAACCTGAACCTGAGTGTTAGGGGAGAGGGAATCTGCCGTTGCGGTTTCTGGAGCTGCTCATAAGCAAGAATTCCCTATCCTGATCAAGGCTTTAAGCCTAAAAGAAAGCAGAAATAGGTATGGATCACCAATGTGTATGTGTGCCCGTGTGTGTGCAAGCCTGTGTGCGTGCAGGGTGGGGTGGGTGTGGAATGGGAGGGGGTGGTGTACTTACTCTTCAGGATCTGGGGTAGCTCAATGTCTGGATTTCATTGCCTTGCAAGAGGGGTTTATAAGTGATTTTTCTGTGATCATACATACTCCTGTTTCCATTTTTTTGAGAAATGAAAAGTAGTTTGGCAGTCATTTTTCCAGTTTCAGGCACTAAAGGAGATTTATGTTATATTTCTCAGCCTATCAGAAAATCCCAACCTGACAGTTTAAAGACAAGAGTCCCAGTGGGTCACTGGGAGGGAGGGAGGGAAAGGGAACTTGAGGGCAGTTTGCTCAGCCCTGTGGTGTGCTCTTCCCCCAAAATATGATTAATGAGATTTAAGGAGGGCCTTTGGAAGGTTAGCTACTCTATACAATAATTAGAAACCAGGTAGCATAATGATGCAAGAAGTGTGAGAGGAGAGAAGATGACTGTTCTCTATCTATCATACACGTCTTTGGGTCACTCCCTGTAAGACTAAAGGAAAGGGGGTCATGTTTTCAGAGGCTATTTAATATAGAAATCAGGGCCTTGTAATCAGGATTCCAGAATTCTCATCTAGGAACCCAAGGGTGGATTAGGTTGACCTTTATTGTAACTTTTTGTGTGACATCATGTCCATTATCCAACACTACTTAAGATCCTTAGAGTGAAAGTTTCATTATTGAGCATTAGTATTAAATTATAGTATATAACATGAGAGACAAATTCTGTCCAAAGATTTTTTGAGCCTGTAATGAGTTTATATGCATTACTTACTATACTGTGCAGAGAGAGAGACAATGTAAGAGGTCACCTATATTATTTTTTAGGTTGGGGACTAGAAGATAAGAAAAGAGGAATCAGTTGTTTAGATTACCCTGTAAAACCATGGCATGCTTAGAATTTGAATCTTGAGTTGTCTTACTACTGATATGTTTCACTCAATCCATATTACTTCCTTAAGAAGAATTAGTTGGGGGGGGAATATTATAATTATACCCTTTCCAGAAGGATAACCTTTTAAATTTTCAATTTCTAAATGCTGTCAGAGGCCCTCTTAAATGAAAGAGGGTTTTCCCTTAAGCACCCAACAACAACAACAACAACAAAATCTCAAAGACAATTCCTGGATGGCTGAAAGAAAAACTTATCAATAACAATGATTCCAAGCCCTTCTCTTACTAAGCCAGGGAGCATCCAAAATGGACAATACAGAAAGGATTCCTTTTTAAAAAAATATGTTTCAGAGTTTTATGAGATCACAGAAAATGATATCCATCAAGCAGGGATCATTTCTATCTGGTGCAAGCCAAGCTCTCATCACCTTTTATGTATTTACTTATTATTTGGCATTTTATAACTCCCTTCACATGCTGAACTGCTTTGCAGATCCTGTCTATGGGACAACTTCTCTCCACTGTCCTGCCCCCACTGCCACATCTGTATTTTTCATTGAAATAGAAAACAGAGAGATGAACCTTGTAAGTAAGGTCCTAGGAAAATTGCCCTCTCTGATCACCCTACTTGACTGCTCCAGATTTGTCCTGTCCTCTTCAGAGTTAAGTCAAGATTAAATATTTAACCCATGCTAAAAGTGAAAGAGGAAACAGAGAGCTCTTATGCCTCCAAGTTCCTCATCATATCAATGCTAGAGTCAGGAGTCACCAACAATTAATCTATTAATTCTAGATTCAATTCTCTACTTTGTATCTGCAATGGAATCCTCCCCCCCCCCCCCCCATACTCATTTTTCCCCTTTAGAGGAATGATTTATCCATCAATTGGGTGTTAAGCTTCCTGTTTCCCCTTCCTAGGTCAAGGGCAGCCCAAGTGCCCAATTTCTCTCTCTCTTCACAAGGCACCACCAGCAATAGAGATGAGAAATTCTGAAGATCAGCCAAGTGGAGGAACCACGGTGTTGCAGCGTCTGCTACAAGAGCAGCTTCGCTATGGCAATCCTAATGAGAATCGCAACCTGCTTGCCATACACCAGCAAGCCACAGGGACTGTCCCTCCTTTCCCCAGTGGCAGTGGAAACCCAGGTCCTCAGAATGATATGTTGAGTCCCCAAGACCATCACCAACAGCTTGTGGCACATGCTGCTAGACAAGAACCCCAAGGGCAGGAAATTCAGTCAGAAAATATCATGATGGAGAAGCAACTTTCCCCTCGAATGCAGAATAATGAAGAACTCCCGACCTATGAAGAAGCCAAGGTCCAGTCCCAGTACTTTCGGGGCCAACAGCATGCCAGTGTTGGAGCTGCCTTCTATGTCACTGGAGTCACCAACCAGAAGATGAGGACGGAGGGACGCCCATCAGTTCAGCGTCTCAATCCTGGGAAGATGCACCAGGATGAGGGACTCAGAGACCTTAAGCAAGGACATGTCCGCTCTTTGAGTGAACGACTAATGCAGATGTCATTGGCCACCAGTGGAGTTAAGGCCCACCCGCCTGTTACCAGCGCTCCACTCTCCCCACCACAACCCAATGACCTCTACAAGAATCCCACAAGTTCCAGTGAATTCTACAAGGCCCAAGGGCCTCCCGGCCAGCATAGCCTGAAGGGCGTGGAACACCGAGGCCCCCCACCAGAGTATCCCTTCAAGGGCATGCCACCCCAGTCTGTAGTGTGCAAGCCCCAAGAGCCAGGGCACTTCTATAGTGAGCATCGTCTGAACCAGCCAGGGAGAACAGAGGGGCAACTGATGAGGTATCAGCATCCCCCTGAGTATGGAGCAGCCAGGTAAGAGAGTTCCCTTTCTATGATTTCTGACCTCCTCCGCCAGCCAGCTTCTGCTGTGTGTTAGGAATGCTAAGGGAAGGAGTGGGCCAGTGTTTGGTATAACAGACTCTGCAATGCATGGCTGGCCTCTGACTTAGTAAATGTCCTGTCAACCTGAATTTCTAGCCATAATTAGTACTGTATTAACATTCCCTGAACTTTATAGGTTGAATATGGCCTCAACTACCTAGTGGATGAACAAGAGCACAAATCTTGATTTCAGCAGCTATTTGCTGTCCTGTCTTCTAGGATATTGAAAGAAGTGTCAGTGTTCATCTTGTGAGTTTTAAGCCCTTCCTTTAGGAGCAGAAGCAAATTATCTTGGACTTAAAGTTAGTCCGGAATATCCTATCACTTCTACTTATCCCCCTCTGCAAAACTCTCATCACATATTTTTGTGAACACATCTTTCGGAGGAATTATTGTGATTCTTTTGGACACTAAACAAACACCAAAATGTTATTGTGGGGGAACGTGCAGGTTCAGAATATAACTTGTCTTGTACTTCCTTTCAGTTTATGAAATCTGGATTGCTTCATCTTTCTTCTGTAGAGACTTTGTTAGTTACCTGTTGTGTTTTTAAGCGTGTAATTTAAATTCACGTCATCCTAATATATAAAAACCCTGGGTCCTAATGACTGGTAAGGACCAAGGCTAGACCAACCGGAAGTCAGTCCTGCAGTCAGTGATGGGTTGCACTGACTGCTGAGGGGACTGCGAATCAGGGCCAGAGAGAGGCCTGAAGAGAGAAGCAGGGACTGATCCGTTCCCTCTCTGGCAGCTTTTGATCAGCACTTGCCTCTCTCTTTCTCTCCCAGTCTGGCCAGCAGCCACACTTCCATTTCTCTCCAGGCCTCCACCAGGGCTGCTGATTAGCCCCACCTTTCTGATCAGGCCCCATTGATAGGCCCAGAGACACTGACTGGCATAGAAACAGACCAATCAGAACAAAATCTGGGTCGACTGTGAGGAGCCAATGGCTGCCTAGGAGGTGGAGCTTTTGACGCTGACTGGCATAGAAACTGACCAATCAGAACCAAATTGGCTGGCAGAGGAGGGCAGTTGGGGGTGACATCAGACCTGCAGGGGAAGGCAGTTGGAGGCAAGATCAGGCCAGCAGGGGAGGGCCGCTGGGGGCGAGATCAGGCAGGCAGAGGCAATTGGGGGCGAGATCGGGCCAGCAGGGGAGGGCAGTTAGGGGTGATCAGGTAGGCAGGCAGAGGCAGTTAGGGGCGATCAGAAAGGCAGGCAGAGGGATCAGGGGCAATCAGGCTGGCAGGCAGGTGAGCAGTTAGGAGCCAGCAGTCCCAGATTGCAAGAGGGATGTCCCCGATTGGAGAGGGTGCAAACTGGGCTGAGGGAACCACCCCCTCCATGCACAAATTTTGTGCACCGGGCCACTAGTATTATATATAAGTTTTGGTCAGATGCTAAAATGTAGAAGGCAAAATACACCCATGACTTCTCTACCATTTGTCCTTAGTTCAGGAGTACTGTTTTATATATTCAGTTCTTCCTAAATACTCAGGTGGGCAAAGGTAGGTTTATAGTTGTGAGTACTCGAAACACATAGTTTATTCTTTTATTATTTATTAATTATTGTATTATTTATTTGTATTATAACTATAAACCTAGTTTTGCCCACCCATGTATAGTTTTGATTTATTCAAGGGCCCATTGTATCAACCAGATATTATGATTCCATTATGCAGTTCATTGTTTCTATTATTGCTATTGGGATGATGTCTCTGATTAGTAGTATTTCAGTATATGGGCAATAGTGATGGAAGTTACGTGGTATTCCTGCCCTGTTACCATGGGTAATTATGGGTGGCCGTGTGGTTTGAAGTGCCTGGACCTAGGGTGGCCTTTCCCTTAGGGGCCCCCCACACTAGGCTTGTGAATCTCTTTGATGTCTAACTCTTTGCCTCCTGTCTCCTTCTTACTGCTTTGGGGAAAAGCCTCTTGGTTTAAAGTTCTTCATTGGGTGACTGTGGAGACAAGGCAGTCAAGGGGTGGAGTTAGAGGTAAGGTGAGAGAATGCACCTGGCATTTCCTGGTATTTCATTATTTTCCCCTTCCAGGTTCATTTTTTAGCCAGAGACAATTCACTTTGGGCTCCACCCCTAACTTTGCCAGTTTAGGATTTTTTTCCCTTAACTCTTCTGTGCAGCTTTCAGAGGGCAGGAGCCTAAGTTCTGATAAGTGGCTTGGAACAGGAAATGGGGTAACGGACAGGGCCCTTCCGGTTTAAATGAGATCAAGAACCCAATTCCCATCTGTCCAATGAAGCGGAAGACCCAGGGAGGGGTTGGTCTGTTGGACTGCTTAGCTTAGTGGAAACCCGTCCAAGCCAGCAAAATGTCAATGAAGCCAGGGTTTTTGTTTTGTTCTTCCCATTAGTATGGAAAGAGTCTGTGGGACTCCCTACCGTATGTGGATGGGCTGACGTCGGTCGCCTTGTGGGAGGGTAGTGTGTTGGCTGGAGTGTGGAGCAGAATCCAAAGCCCCACTCAGCACATGGCCCGCCTCCCCAGGAAAGCTATTTTCAGAACTCATTCACCAGTATTGTTCGTGATCTGAAATGGCTCCCACAGTGTTTGAAGCTAGATGGAAAAGTCCTTTGATCTGCCTAAATAAATAATAAGGAACCCAAAGAGGGATTTTTGTTCTTCCCATACTGATTAAACCACCAGAAAAATGTAGCTGCATCTGTTTTACAGGAAGATACTTGTATTTTCTCCTCCCTCCTACATTATCTGTGGTTCTATCTTCCTGTCATCAAAAGCAGTAGAGTTCATGCTGCTTACCCTCTTGAGCAGCATTTTAAGAGACAGGTTTGCTCTAACATTTTTTTTTCTTTTTCTCTATGGGAGAGGAACAGGGTGCTTGATATGCTCGATGAATAAATAACAAAACTTAAAAGATGCTCTGTGTGAAGTTTGGGTCTGCATCAGAAAAATTCAGGCAATAAAATGTTTGCAGGGCATGGGACTAAGGAGTGGCACCTATTGACAAATTGCTGGCAGGGGGGAGGTAGTTGAATTGCTTTCCTGAAGTGTACACTTTCAAGTGGTGACACATTTGTCCTCCTTATTTGCTTTAACAGTTTGTGAATACCTTTCCAAGTAACTGCTGTTAGCACCAAACAATTAGAAGACTAAATTCCTAGTTCTTAATCCACAAATTACAGATAGGGATGCAAAGCAAGCTCTTTGAACAAATTGCTGTTCAAAAAACCTTTGTTTGCCTTTCAAGGTGCAGTAAAATGCTAAGGATTTGCTGTTAAAATGAACAAAATATTATAAACAATCTTTTTATTACTTCATCTTCCCTATGCCCTCCTCCCCACTTAAAAAATAAATATCCTGAATGCTCAGAACTCCAGATGGGAAACAAAGCCAGGACATGTGAAGAATTAAAAATTCTCTGAATCTTTTGTCTTTTTAAGTGCTGAGCCTTTTCTGCATTTGGGGTTTATACATTTATCAACTGCTTTTAAAAATTAAATCTTCTCTGTTTGTAAAGCAGCCACCTCCTTTTAATTGTTGAAATTGTGCCCAGATCTGAGGTTTCTTGAAATCCTTGTTTAGTGGAATCTAAGGGTGACCTAACTCTGTAGTTCAGAGCAGAGCTGGTTGTGCAAGAGAAACAATCAAGAATTTGCAGCCCAGTCCAGGATTCACAGCTTCACTACCACGGAGCCTGGGAAAGGCACCGTTTCTGTGGGGAGACTAAATTGGGTTCCAGGCTGTTGGTGGCACCTGCTCTGGTGAGAGTATAAGTCTGGGCTTGCACACGTGTGGGCCAGGAGTGTGCAGTATATGTGGTGTGTGTGTGTGTGTGTGTGTGTGTGTGTGTGTAGTATGTGGCAGGGGAGGGCAGGGGCTTCCAGTCAGTGAGGTAGCAGGGTGGAAGGTGGTATGTCAACTCAACGGACCGGTTTTTGCTTTTCTTTTGTGTCTTTGCAAAGCTGTCTGTCTCTGGGAGGGAGTGCTGCCTGCTTGGGGGGATGCTGATTTTGGCCATTGGCCTCTGTCCTGCATATATACCCTTTCCCCTTTTCCACAGAACACTAGAACCGGGTTGTCTTAAGAAGGGGCAGAATGAAGGGAGGGAAGGGGCAGGGATGCAGGTCAGGGCTTCCATGAGATCATGTGATTCTATTGTCTGCTGGCAGCTTATTCCTGGTTAATATGTCAGTGGGGAGTGATTCATGCTGCGGTGCTGGGGTGAGTGCCGCTTACCCAACTGCCACCTTTATTATTGCTATTACGCGTATTATTTAGTCTCAAGTGTGTTTTTGCTTCCTCTGACATCCCCCCAGCTCTCCCCTACCCCTGTCATTCCTCAGTCCCTTCCTCTCAGTGGAAACTTCACAAGAGTGTTAATACTGCCCTGCTTTTTTTGTGGTGGGTGGATGCTGGAGCCCAGATGGAGTTCGTTGGCTGGAGGGCTTTTTCTCTCTTTGCGACTGCCCAAGCCTTGCTTCATGTTTGCAAACCTGCCAGGGATGGACTGCCTTGGTCTTCCCAACATCACAGTGCACTGAAATCTGCTTCTTTTTCCAGCCTGGGGAACCTGAGGGGCAACTGACTTATCTCCTAGCAGTGCCCAGAGTTATGGCCAGGGCCACTACAGTCCTGGGCTTATTTGACTCTGGTGACTACTTTTCACAGATCTTGTGGTCTTCTCCTTTCTGAGGTCCCCAGGAGGCCATGAGCTGTTCAGGGCAAGGAGGAGCCTTTCAGCTTCCAGACAGGAGGGGAACCAGTGGACATTCTGTTTAAAGGAGAGGCCTGGGTTGCTGATGGCACCCAGGGGAGCTGGGAGGAGGAAGCCCCATTCAGAACTGGGCATTTGGTCTTTTATATTTTTTTTGAAAATTTTTATTTTTTAATTTTTTAAAATTGTTTAAAGCATTACAAATAGTAGTACATATGTCTCCCTTTTTTCCCAAT